GTGTTTGTATACCTCAGTGTGTTTCTATAGACCTGTGGGGTATGTTTGTATACCTCAGTGTGTTTCTATAGACCTGTGGGGTATGTTTGTATACCTCAGTGTGTTTCTATAGACCTGTGGGGTATGTTTGTATACCTCAGTGTGTTTCTATAGACCTGTGGGGTATGTTTGTATACCTCAGTGTGTCTGTAGACTTTAGTGCGGTGATGCACTGATAACAAAATTTCTGGCCGATACTGACAGCTGGTTCTTTCAAAAACTGACGCCGATGTCGACTGTTTGGGAGGTTCTGTTTAAATTAGTTTAAAGGGACACTCCACCCAAACAAATTAAATATAATTACATTCCAAAAGTATTTATTTTTGGTAAGAAAATACCACCTCTGGCATATTACTACAGTCCCAGAGTGCTATATTTCATAACTGTATACATCTTATATATTTATAACATTTATAACAGAGAAGGGCTGATCATCAAGTGTGACAAACTCTGAAATTTTCCGAGTAATATCTTTTCATTTCACACTGTCTGCACGGAATTTTGTTTAGCTATCAAATGCTTGCGTTACTGATGGACTAACGTTATTCTGCAATACTGCAGACTTCTTTATTGGAATGGATTCATTTTTCAGAAACTCTTCATACTCTACACTGTCTTACCTTAATGTGAACAATCAAATTTTTGTATTGAAATTATAAATATTCGTAGATCCTCCTCATGAAATTGTAGCAAAACAATGTTTGCAAAATGGATTTCTAACATTGTTTTTGGCTCATGTTAAAATAATTCCACACAGCAGACATTTTTCTAGCTGTTTAGTGCGCGGGTTTGCAAAGCAGTATGGGTCACCATTTTAAATCAAATTATCAGCGTTGAATTTCGACTCATTTTTAACCATCAGACGATGGCCGACTGTTGCTGTATCGGCAGATACTGATAGTTGGCCGATACAATCGGTGCATCTATACTTTAGTGTGTTTCTACAGACACATAGTATGTACTTGTTGACTTTTGTGTGTTTCTGTAGACCTGCCATGTGCTTGTACACGTCAGTGTGTTTTTATAGCTGTGGTCTGTGGTATGTGTCTGTAGACTTTTGTGTGTTTCTGTAGACCTGCCATGTGCTTGTACACGTCAGTGTGTTTTTATAGCTGTGGTCTGTGGTATGTGTCTGTAGATTTTTTTGTGTTTCTGTAGACCTGCCGTGTGCTTGTAGACTTCAGTGTGGTTTTATAGCTGTGGTCTGTGGTATGTGTCTGTAGACTTTTGTGTGTTTCTGTAGACCTGCCGTGTGCTTGTAGACTTCAGTGTGGTTTTATAGCTGTGGTCTGTGGTATGTGTCTGTAGACTTTTTTGTGTTTCTGTAGACCTGCCGTGTGCTTGTAGACTTCAGTGTGGTTTTATAGCTGTGGTCTGTGGTATGTGTTTGTAGACTTTTGTGTGTTTCCGTAGACCCATGGGGCATGTTCGTAGACTTTTGTGTGTTTCTATAGGCCTGCGTTGTGTGTTTTTAGACTTTAGTATGTTTCTGTAGACCTGTGGGGTGTGTGTGTAGACCTTAGTGTATTTACAGAGATCTGCTGTTTTATAGACTCGTGTGTATTTCAGGAGATCTTCCGTAGGTATTTTTAGACTTTGGTGTACTTCTATAGATCTGCACTGTGTGTTTATAGACATTTGTTTACTGTAGCTCCTGTGGAGTTTTCACCTCATTCAACCTCTTTCACATTCTTACATCACTTCTTAAACACAAAAGCTCCCTTCCTCTCTCAGTCTCTCTCTTTCTCACACACTCGCTCCCAAATGGACACTCGGATACTCATGCCCGCTGTTGCCCATTAAGAATGGCAGTAGCGATTACACCACAACAGCCTAAGTTTTGTGATTCTGCATTGAATATCCCTGTAATTGCCTGTAGGAATATGGAGAGTCATCTGAAGTTGACATGTACCCAGCATGGAGCAGAAGCTGCTCGGATGCCAGTGTCACCTTAACAGGCTGAATGGAAGTAACACACTGAAAAAACAGGGCGGCTGTCACTGTGTACCGCATTCCTTCTGTGGCTTTTGTGTGCGTGTGTGTGTGTATGTATGTGTGTGTTTGTAATTATTACATTGTGGGGACAAGATTTCCCTACAATGTTATAAAACCTGTAATTCTTTTTACCTTGTGGGGACAGATTTAGTCAAAATCTGAGACAAAAGTCTTGTATTTTGTTTGGTTACTTATGGATAAGGTTAGGGCTGGGTAGGGGTTATGGTTCTCATTGTTGGGATTAGAGTTTTGCCCCAAGAAATGAACGAAAGGTCCCCATTTAGGTAGGTATGCCAACATACGTGTTTGTGTGTATGTGCATACAGTATGAGCGGTCCCCATAAGGATATGTATACCCTACATGTGCGTACGAGTGTGTGTTTGTGCATATGTGTGTGTGTGTGTGTGTGCAGATGCGCATGCTGTTCTTGTGCTTGTGTGTCTTTCCTCTTTCAGAATATTTTAACCTCAGGGGCGGCAGGTAACATCAGGCGCTGCTGTTGCACCCTTGGGTAAATGTAAATTGCTCCAGTGAAATATCCAGGAAAATAACAGGCTTTGGATGAAAACATCAGTTAAACAACATAATAGCTGAAGTCACCTGTATTAGGCTTGGGGATTGATAAACAGCGGAGTAAGGAGAACGCAGTGGGCGTACTGGACGACTCAAACTGGTCTGGTCAATGTTTTGTAGCTGTGGGACCAGCTGACCTTCTTAGGTTCTGTTTGATGCCTGCACCAGCAGTGGGGGGCTGGTGTCCTCGGTGTTTATGTCAGAATTCCCTCCCCTCCGGAATGGCCCGCGATCCGGGACTCATGGATCTGCACACGAGCTTACGATGGGCTGGATCGCCTTGCAGTGGCAGAAAAACCTATGGCTTTTTTTTTAATGATGAAAAGCGAACAGATTGTGTAGAGAGCAGCACGCGTTGACACCTTGGAACCGTGCAGTGAAAAAGCACTTTACTGTCCCCAGAAAGCGGTCGGGGTGACATTTTGGGTGCATATGGCTGGCAGGAGCATTTGCATTTGTTCTGTGACGCTGTGTCCGGCATCATGGTTGTCTCCCTGGAGGTCCTTCACTAATGATGTTACCCAATCATGAAACAGTCTGGCAGGACTACTGTGCTTTTTCAATCAAAGCCCTGTCCTGCTTTGACTTCAGTTGCAATAAAATGATTCCCAGAAAACCTAATTTCCTCCTAAAAATTACACCCCAATGTCTTGCTGCCGTATTTTTATTTTTTTTTCGTTACTACACAGGTAGCACCTAATTGAGGTCTTAAATGAAAGGTCATTACTTTTCGCTAACAAGCTCGCCCCCGGCTTGGTACCCGATTCACAGTGTGAGGGCTGCATGGCAGGCACTAGCTCTCACCGCCAAAGTTTGTCAGGCAAAGCCAACTGAAAATGGACGCCCCTCTCCGTGTGAGGGTCACTGGCTGTGTGAGAACGCTTCGCAGTGAGGGTCACTGGTTGTACAACAGCATCTCACATTTTGGGTCAGTGACTGTATGAGAGTGCCTCGCAGTGGGGGTCACTGGCTGTACGAGCGCTCCTCGCAGTGGGGGTCAGTGGCTGTGTGAGAGCGCCTCGCAGTGGGGGGTCACTGACTGTGCAAGAGCGCCTCACAATGGGGGGCACTGGCTGTATGAGAGCACCTAGCAGTGGGGGTCACTGGCTGTATGAGTTGGTTACACTCAGGCCCATTGTGAGAGTCTTCTTAACTACTCAGCTGTACATTTATGTTGTCCAAAATAAAACAAGGACTTCCACAGACCACATGACCACATATGCTCCCTGTGTGTGAGAGAGGCCTCCTTACCGTTCTGCCCTCCAGCTGTAATGGGATGTAACTAATGAACACACTCTGTTTCTGCAGGAGGAACCCTTCGTGATGGTGTCAGAGAACGTGCTGGGACAGCCCAAGAAGTACCAAGGCTTCTCCATTGATGTGCTGGATGCCCTCTCCAATTACCTAGGCTTCAAGTACGAGATCTACGTGGCCCCTGACCATAAATACGGGAGTCTGCAGGCAGACGGGGTCTGGAATGGCCTCATTGGAGAGCTGGTATTCAAGGTGGGTGAAGGCTTCCTCCCAGATGCATACAGGGGCACACAGGTCTCCGGGCATGGGGGTTACACCGGAGGCATCTCCTTGCAGTGCCCTCTGCAGGTCGGAGGTCAGCACAGCACATCTGGGATTAATATCCAACAACCATTGATATTATTTCTGTAATTCTTAAAGATGCACGGAGACAGTGCAGATCCACCCTTGAAGCTGCTTGTTATCCTTGCTTTCATTTGGCGGGGGGTTAAAACAGTCCGTGTAGCTCTCATTTTTCCCAAACTTTATTTATTAATTGTTCCCCGTGCAGAGCCCCCCTCCTGAAATCACAGTTAGTAAACCCCCACCCCCCCCAGAAAAGGCACTTTTCTCTAAATCGTGCCTAATTGTGTGGCTGCTCAGATTTCTTCACCTTTTTTGAGCTGTTTGGAGTGATTTAGAGCAGAAGGGCCCAGGTCACGTGGTTCCCAGGGTGGGGGGGGGGCATTTTGTTGCGGGTTCCCTTCCCCATCAGTAGTTGTGTCGGAATGAGGCATAGTGCAGGTACTGTAGGTACACGCCCGCACGCACACGCACATACACACCCGCACGCATGTGTAGGGTAAACATATCCTTATGGGGACCGCTCTTTCATTTCAATGGGAAAAATGCTAACGCTAACTATGACAACCTTAACCCCCACCCTGCCCTAACCATAACCATACGCCTTCACTCGCCCCAGAGAGGGCGCTGTTGCGGCTCCGAAGCTCTGAGTTATACATGCTGAGCCAAAATTCTGCTACGCACAGTCCCCATGCCCCCCCACACATATTCCCCCACCCCTTTAATTAATACCTGTCTGCTTCACATATAGTATCTAATTGCTAATCTGCTCTTATAGGAATAGGGCTGTTACACAGGCCCTTAATTAATAAGGGGATTATCTCCGGGCAGGTTAACAATGCAGCCCGTGTCCGGAACACAAGCTCCGCGGGGCACAAAGACCCCATGAGTCACAGGGCCACACTGGAGTCCCGTCCCCCCCACCTGCCTGTCACCAGAGAGCATTCTGGGAAGCCTCTGTCCTCGCGTGGAACTCCCGTGACGCATCAGCGGCCATTTCTGCCCATTTAAGCATTTTGTTTCTGTAGCAGACCGTGAAATTAGCTGACTTAGTCGAGCGTGGCCCTGTCGTGAGTGTGTGGGTGGTCGTGTGTGCCTGTCTGCCGGGGTGGGGAGGGACAAGCTCTTCCTGGTGCTTCCTAACAAAAATCAGTTTGCTGGAAAGAGGTTGCAGCCATTTTTAATGAGGCAATTGTGTCTCTGGAGCCAGACCTCACCTCCGCCGAGCCCGTGATGTCCACACAGATAATCCCTCATAGCAAAGGCCCTGGTGATTTAGCAAAGCATGGGGGGGGGGGCTCACGGACACACGGACACACAGGCTAACCCACAGATGAAGAAAACCACACCTGTTATACAACTGTGGCTCAGATGGACCCAAGGGGGATCTTAAAGATAAATTGGGCCGAGCAGAAGCTGCTCCGTACCGTAGGCTGTGTGTGTGTGTCTGTGTGTCTGTGTGTGTGTGCACACGCACGTGCATTTGTGCCATGTGTGAAAATACAGTGGCCCGTTCGAAGTGACCACAGACTATAGTTGTTTTTGGCGGCCTGTCTTAATTTTAGTTTTAGTCTAGTCTTTGCGTCAAGCTGTCACTTTAGTTATTATTAGTCTTAGTCACTTCCATACTTATTTTAGTCTGGTCAAGTTTCAGTCGACTAAAAGTCTGAGCATTTTAGTCATATTTTAGTCAGAATTATCCATGACTATTTTAGTCTAGTTTTAGTTGACAAAAACTGATGACATTTTAGTCTAGTTTTAGTCAATGAAAATTCATTAGTCAATGAAAATTCATTATAGTACAAGTACCTAGTACAATAGACAAAAACAAAATTTTCCTTTAGTCAAAAGCATTTCACAATTAAAACAAGGTTATCTTATTATTATATTATTGTTACCTTATAGACTCAAGAATACTCTACATTCACGCTCTGATTTGAATTTGTAACATTAATTTTGCCAACCATGTTTGAACTTAGAAGTACACACAAATTTAAATAAAATAAATAAATAAAATAATGTTCATCTTCTTGCTTCACTGAGGCTGTTTCTGGAATCTAGCACAGGAATAGATACAATGTCAGGACAGATGCAGCCTCTAGAAAATCTAACTGTTGTAAATATTAAGTAGCATAAATCCTTGATATTAGGCCTATTTTGCCCTCAATGACTGAAGCTATTGTTGTAATTGAAAGTTTAGATCGCCAGGATTCAAGACAAATGAGCTGTCGTTCTCAGTTTGCTACTTAGCTTTAGCTTGCTAAGATGCCTACATAGCTTCAAAGTCTTCCCTTTACCCACGTATTCTTATCAAACATCTTATCAGAAAGGATGTTTTGTACAGATCGTCAAGTGTCCATGCTTATGAAATATAATTTTCTCCAAAACGTCTAAAGCTAGCAGGCTAACATCTATTGCTAACGATATGTTAAGCACAGTTGGCATGAGCTTTCTAAAATAAAAAGTAACGCTACGTTAATGTCTTTACTTACCTCAATGTCATTGTGGAATGCCTTGAGATGTCTTTTAAGGTTTGTGGTGTTTTTTCCCGATATTTTGTGGCCGCATTTCTCCCCATTTTTTTCAACCAGACATTCTGTTTTCTTTTCCACTTCACTGTACAGAAATTGTGTCTAAAGGTCGCTTCTTCTTTTTCTCCCAGCCATCTGCTAACCCACCACTGAAATCTAAAAAATGCAGCGAATATATATTGAGGAAGTGACGCCATCTGTGCGCCCGAATGGAAAACAGAATGGGAAACAGAAATATTGTATAATAATAATAATAATAACGCGATTAAACCAGAGGAAATAACGTCTCGTCTCGTTTTCATCAACAAAAATGAAGAGACATTTTAGTATAGTTTTTATTTTGTAAACCAAATTTAGTCTCATTTTTATTCGTCAACAATATTGCATGATATATTTCGTTATAGTTATCGTCACATGACCAGCATTTACGTTGCGTCTCGTCTCCGTCACGTCAAAAAGGTTCGTTGACGAATTTTTAACCTTTCACTGATCACTAGAATGTTCTGGGGCCCTGGCAGGGAGGCGGAGCCATAGTCAGGCTCAGGAGATGGCAAGGGGGGCTGCAATTACACCCGGGTTCTGTGAGAGGGAACGCGGCAGCGGACGTGACTCAGCGCTGTCCAGCCAGAGCCCCCCGATCCCCCTGGTGGCTGCTTTGCAAATGAAAGTTTGATTGATTGTCCTTCCCGGCTCCTTGGGGGTAATCCGTTTCCTCAGCGCGCCATTGGGATCACTCCAAGGTCCTGCTCACAGCCGACATTCCATCATATGCCTGCTGAACACATCAGCCGGGAGACGGTAGTGGTGTGGTCAGCTTGACCTTTGACCTTTGAAGCTGTTAACTTCAGCAATGCGTTTAAAGGGGAGTGAAAGCAAAATATGATAATTTTCTGTTTTATTTGTTGTATTTCCTGTATTTGGAATCTATGGGATTACTGACTTGTTTTGTTTTTGCACCTAATGAAACTGGCACTGTTCTGTCTCCCACTGTGTAATCACACTCGGCACAGGGAACATTCCGCTGGCACTGATGGGAAATGTGTCTAGTCCAATTAAAAAAAGACAACATGGTTGTCGGCTGGGCACACAGCCATACATGCAGCCAGGGGCATGTACAGGGGCGGGGCCTCAGGAGCGCTGGCCCAAACTAAAATCTGATTGGCCTCTGGAATGCCCAATCCCCTGTCACTGACTGAGTCAAAACATGTTATTGGCTAAAGATAAGGTTGGCCGCTCTGGCCCCTCGGATGCCGCCCACCTTAAAAAAAATTCTAGAATCACCCATCATGCAATGAGTAAAAGCGTTAATCGGACCTGGATTCTTCTCTGGAGACGCAGAGGAGACTCCAGATGATAGCATTTTTCCAGAGAAAACAATCAGTCAGTTTTTTCTGGATGTCCGGGCACCTCCTGGTGATGAGCAGAATGAGTTTGCTGTGTACGGGTTCTGACCCTCCCCACTCTTGTGTCCCCAGCGGGCAGACGTTGGCCTGTCTGCCCTGACCATCACGCCGGAGCGTGAGAGCGTGGTGGACTTCACCACGCGCTACATGGATTACTCCGTAGGGGTGTTGCTGCGCAAGGCCGAGCGCACGGTGGACATGTTCGCCTGCCTGGCGCCGTTCGACCTCTCGCTGTGGGCCTGCATCGCCGGCACGGTCCTCCTGGTGGGCGTCCTTGTCTACCTGCTCAACTGGCTGAACCCACCGCGCCTGCCCATGGGCTCCGTTTCCTCCACCACGCTTTACAACTCCATGTGGTTCGTGTACGGCTCCTTTGTCCAGCAGGGTAAGTTCATGAGGGCGGGGTCACCCATGGGGGGGGGTGGTCTGTGAGAAGCAGAAGCGGGTGGAAGATGAACACAAAGACGCAGCCAGAGTTCCAGCTCTCAGGCGCTTCCCGTGTCTCTGAGTAACGGGCTGTCGGGGGGCCGGGGTCTCACGGAGCGAAGCCGTAAGCCGGAGGGTGAACGGCATGCAGGGAGTAGAACAGAACGTGAGCGGGAAGTAAGAGGGAGCACAAGCAGAACATACCAGCAAGTACTAGAAGGACACAGGTCAAAACCAGAGCAGCAAAGTTCAGGTTCAGAAAGCACAAATACAGACCAAGATTTTGTTTCAACCAACCAGTTGAGTACTGTTGTGACTGTGACTCTTTGTACTCAACAAAACCTTGGTCTATCCACCTCTGCTCAGAACACGGGGAATAGGATGTGGCACAGTGGGTTATGATGCTGTGTGTTGGATCCCAGGATCAGTACAGTGACGTCACCATTAAGGCCTTCAACCCCCAATTGCTCCAGGGACTGGCTGAAAAAAAAAATGTATGTCTCCTTGGATAAAAGCATTTGCTAAATAAATTGTAATTTGTCATTTGTAAAAGGTAAGAAATAGGTCTCCTTTCATAAGTATCCAGAGCCCGCCGCTGTTTTCATACCGAAGCAGAAACTCGATGTTTTTCGATGCGGCACATTTTAATCAGCCCCTGATTAATCAGCAAGGTCGGGCGGGTTCAAAATAAAGTAATTAAGAGCTGAAGGTTTTTAGGAGTAGAAACCTGTGAGTGGTGACAGGCAGGGTGGGGAGGGAAAAGCGATCAATATCCATTATAAAATACATTCAAAATGAAGGAAGTAGAGAGAGGAGGTGAGTAAAAATGTGGAAAGCTGATTTCATGGGGATTCAGACCCTTTGTTGTGGCAAATCTAAATTCAGCTTATATACACAAAAAAGCATGCTAACTAGCCACCAGGGAATACGCAGAGTGGCTTCTGTTTGTGTTGCTGTAGCTTCAGAATGAAGACGTCTGTCTGCGTGAGATTCATTACCGAGGCGGGGAGTTTGGAGTGAAAACGTCGCCATTAAGAGCGAGGAACTTTCTGGGTGTTGACACCAAAAACAGGTCAGCAGATGGGCGACAAGACGTCATAATTTCCGAATTTCCTGGCTCTCCCAGTTCTCGTCAGCGGGCCAGCAAGGTGAACCAAACCTCTGCTTAGACCAAGCCGCTGCACCTCACTGAGGAACTGGGCTGGGATGCGACCACGAGGTTCACAGATGGGTCGGCGATGGATTCAATAATAATATTCATTTCAGAGATAACATGCATCAGTCAATGGGGTCCAGAATCTTTACAGAACTCATTCAGGAAAGAAAGACATGCCTAAAAATAAACTGAACGTAAAAAACCCCTTAGATTCCAGAGCAAACACCTGCAGCCCAGTTTCAGCTGAGACCAAACCCAGCATACTGCCTCGTCTCCGCAGTCAAGCATGGCCGCCGAATGGCCTTTCCGCTCCAAAGGCCTGAGACTGCAAGGCTCTCTGAAACCAAAGACAAAAACATCTGAGCTTTAGTTTAGCAAAGAGTGCAAAAAAAAATGAGTGAAAATCCCACCAAATTGGAGCTGAAGGCATGCTGCAGCTCTCTTACGATGAAAGAGCGAATGTCCTTGATGGACTGGGGTGATGTCGCGGTCCTCCATAAGCAGCGTCCGTCGGCAGACATCGGCGACGCCTGGGAGGGAACGTGAGCTCATCTGCATGAGGCCGACACAAAGCGAGCCGTAACCCAAAGCCAAGAAGGCGTGGAGATGAGATGACTCTCCGAGGACCCCGCCAGGCGGGACCGACCCGCCCCCCCAGCTCCCGTGCTGCCCGCTCATTTAAGCCTTTATGCTTTCGTTTTTGCTGACATTCTATTCTTCTCATAACACTTTCTTCTCTTAGTCTTTGATGTCTTCAGGTTTCGAATAAAGTATTCAGGTTTTTTAAGGGTGATAATTTTGTGATTTTCGAAAACAGGTCAGTAGATAAAGAATTGGAGTATTTCTGCAGAAAGTTCCAGATTGAACTTCATCTGTTTCTCTGGCATTGTGAGGGGTCGTTGTGTGAGAGCGTCTGGGGAGGTTTTTGTCCTTGCGGAGGTGACCTCGATCAGCGTTCGGTCCTGTGGTCTGGACATTAAAGGAGGGGCTCTCAGAATTTGGACACAGGAGTTTTTACTGCTTGTTGACAAAATTGTCTTTTTCTTGCTTTGGATAATTGCTTCAGGGTCACCTGAAAACGCCCCTCCCAAATAGAAATCTGACACCTCAGAAATGGTGCGCATTCTTGCAAAGAAAGAACTGTAAATGATCGGAGTCACAAGAGTTTATGCGAGAAGAGGGGAGTGACTTGGAGAGAAAGAATTAGCCGGAAAGTGAGGGGGATGCGTGAGAGTTCTTCACCCCTTGACCTTTTCTGCTTGACATTTCACGAGGCTGTCAAAACGTCTTTCAGCCAGACCTTTTTAAACGTACACACATCATGCGCCGGTGATTCAGTGCGTCTGAATTTAGCCAAACGTGTCTTTTTCTCAGTCTATTACAGCTCATAACCATAATGACAGCACACATCCCTGGCTGCAACACGAACCTCATTTTCTTTAAATCCTAATTGTGATTATTAGTACTGCAATTTGTTGGGCAAACACTAACGATTAAAGCTTTACTGCATCACCTAGCTTGTGAATCTTCATGATTTAACCCAGTTTACTGCTCTGGATATTTGTTAAACGACGGGTGGGTTTGTTTCTAATTCACTGGGATTTGAGAGAGCAGCTTTTGGATTACAAGCCGTGTTCATAGCCACCACACCCCCTGCTGTCCTTTATGTGAAACGCAGCTCCCCTTAACACACTCATGTAGGAAACAATCACATAAACAATCACACACCCCCATGCTGAAAATACTTTACAAACATACATGTCATGTCTAGTTTATATAACAATATTCACAGATAATCGTTATATATGTAGACTTGCATACTGATGCATAAACATTCTCACATGACATCTACGTATGCACATCCACAGCGTAACTAAGATTACATAATAATACTGTTAAAATTCACTTACAGTAGTGTTCCTATCAAAGAAAAGATCAACTGGGCGATTTTTAAGGTATAAGAGGAGAGTTACCGAATCAAACAATCAGCCGGAAACGTTTATGACGTCCCCCGTGGAATCCTGGATGTTTACCATGTCTCCCCCCCGTTCACCGTCTTACACAGATAGATGTGTTTTTGCCGCTCTGGCAGCTACATATCGGGTAGCTCGATGTGCATTTTCCCACACGCGCTCAGTTCAGTGGAGGGCCAGAGATGATGCCGTTTGGTTTTCATTCATACGTCGTGTACCTCTGATCTGGTGTAACGAACCTTGGTAACTTCCCATCCTTCGCATTTAAGCAGAACTTTCATACCTGTCAGTCCAGTTTTTCAGAGGTTTGTTTTTAACCAGCGACTGGGGGCGGACACACACACACACACACACGCAGTTCATATATTACTATCATTGTGGGGACTCTCCATTGATTTCTATGGGCATAACCCTAATCACAGCTATGACAAACTTAACCCCTACCCAGCCCTAACCTTAACCATAAGTAACCAAACAAAATTGAAGTCTGTTGGTATTTTTAGTTAATTGATGACATTCACAGACTTTTATAAAATTGAGGTTTACATTGTGGGGAACGAAAAAATATCCTCACAAGCTAAAAAGTAACAAGTGGTGTAAGCAAACTCTCTCTCACACACACACACACACACTCTGACCCACACACACACTGCGGCCTCCTCCCTTCTATTCGCAATCCACCCCCCTCTGACAGGCTGCTCCCTACACCCACCCCCCCACCCACCATAGGGTCCACACTATACATACTGGTCCCGGCTGATTGCAGCAACATCCTCTTCTCTACCAGTACAGATGGCCCATTTTGCTGAGCCTCCCTGGTTAAACCAAAGCCCCCCCCCCCATTCCATCGTGAATTGCTGGCTCTTATCTCCATCACACAGGGCCCAGCAGCCGCGGTCCCCGGGCGCGAGGCATGTCCCCCCCCCCACCTTTAATCCCATCAACCAGGAGGGTGAAGCACCTCCCAAAGGTCTCCCATTCACCTGAAGCACACTAAGCTTTGGGTCCGCTCTAGGGGGCGCCGCGGGGCAGGATTGCATATCAGCATATGTACATACACACACATGCACTACAATCATGCAACCACACAGATCAACGTGCATCGACTCACAAACATGCATCCGTACACATGGACCACTCACACGCACTCACACACATATAAGATACACACTTACAAACACAGATACACACCTACACATACGCTCTTATCCTTACTCATACACACAGACACTTAGACATACACACATGCGTTTTCTCATGAACACTCTGTCACACTCATACACTATCTCTCAGACAGACACACACTGTCACGAATCAAATGCAGAAACTAGACAGACGGATGGAAAGATGGATGGAGTATATATTGGAGGACAGGAGTGGGGTAACAATAAGGCCTGCGCCTCTCTTCCTGGGTAGGGATGGGCTCTGAAGCCGCTTACAGACCTACAGCAAGGTCAGCTGTAAGACTGGCGCTTCCAGGGTTGCCAGCTTATATGCATCTGGCGTGACACTCACGCTTTCAATCTTATGGCAAATCTACGTTATTCCATTATAAACCTAAAATAAGCTTTATGAAAAGCGTTGGGGTAGTTTGCAAACCCTACTGACTATTTACAAGGTAATAAAACCGTACATGTAAATGCGTGTGCATGTGTGAGCAGTATTGTCTCAAATTGAAAATCTCATTCCAGCCAGCTGACCAGATTTGGCAACCCAGGCCTTTGCTGTAATCAGTCTAATAGCTAATTGCTAGATATACCATCCTGTGTGTGCGTGAATATGCTAACACCATGTAGCAGTTATGCTATGTATATAGTGGTTGTGGACTTG